ACTCCCACCCAGTAGCCACATGGCACCCCACCTTCCGGGTCAGGGGAGGGCACAAGAGGAACAGTAATGAGGTGTCCCTGGACTTCTACCTCTATGTGGCAGTACTGAGGCAACAACGTCCCCTGCTCTGAGGCAGCATGGTCAGAGAAGACCTGCTAAAATACAACCTTCAAAGATGACCCAGTCTTTTTAATACCATACCTAAATTGTCCAGGTATTAATGGAAAATCGCTCATCATTCCAAGGAAGATCTCAGTTTGAAGGGAAAAGACAATCAACAAATGCCAATACTGAAATGACACATACGTTAGCATTACTCGATAAGGATTTTGAAGCAGCCATCGTAAAAGTCCAAAGAACAATTACAAACATGCTTGAAACAAATGAAAAAAATAGCAAGTCTCAGCAAAGAATTACAAGCTACAAAGAAAACTAAATGGAAAACTTAGAACTAAAAAAATACATGGGCACAATCTGTGAACTTGAGGATAGAACGCTACAAATTACCCAGTCTGAACAAAGAAAAAAGACTGAAAAGAAAAAAAGCTATAGGGCAAGTGAGACTGCAGCAAAAGATCTAACTACTGGGTGACTAGAGTCGCTGGAGTCAAGGAGATAAAGTACATGGGGCTGAAATACTGTTTGTAAAAATAATGGCTGAAAATTATCTACATTTGGGAAATGACATAAACCCATAGGTTCAAGAAGCTGAGCCAACCCCAAACAGGACAAACCCAAACGTATTCATGCTAAGACACATCGTCAACCTTCTGAAAACTATGAACAGAGAAAAAAAACTCTGGAAAGCAGCCAGAAAGAAGAGATGCAAGAAATGCACTGATGTCTGGCATTAGAGAAATGGGTGGGTTACCAGCACTTCTTGTTGATTTCAACTTAGTCTTCTGCCTTGGTAACTGAACTTATCTGAACTAACATGCACAGAGCATTTACTAGACATCTATAAATCATGCTGGCACTTGGGGGACATATATTAATCCCATTCTTCTTATAACTGCTCCACAGCAGTTATTATCCATCAGAGCAAATCAAGAAATTGCAGAATTTGAAAGAACCTCAAAAAACAACAAACAAACAAAAAACCCATCAAGCACATATTTTTAATTTGTAAGTTCTGGATGGGCTTCAGCTCTGTGAACTACTTGAAATTAATCTAAAAATGCCAGCATACTGGGGCGCCTGGGTGGCGCAGTCGGTTAAGCGTCCGACTTCAGCCAGGTCACGATCTCGCGGTCCTTGAGTTCGAGCCCCGCGTCGGGCTCTGGGCTGATGGCTCAGAGCCTGGAGCCTGTTTCTGATTCTGTGTCTCCCTCTCTCTCTGCCCCTCCCCCGTTCATGCTCTGTCTCTCTCTGTCCCAAAAAATAAATAAACGTTGAAAAAAAATAAAAAATTAAAATGCCAGCATATATGTGCATTTTTCCAGGCAAAGGACCAGTTTTTATCAGATCCTCGATGGAGTGGGTGGCCCTAAAAAGGTTAAGAGCCATTATAAGTTTCCGTTCTTTTCAGGCTAACCCATATAACCCAACCTAGGTAGAAAAGCAGCTAAAAATAGAGAAGGTACTCTTCAGTATATCCATCAAAATTCCTGAATGCTACCTCATAATTCTCTATTTTTTAAGGGAACACTAAGAAAATGGTTTCCTAATTCCTTCTAGGCACTTCTGGAAATACATGCTCATTAAAGAATATTTGCCTGCAGTCTTATTTTGATCGTTTTAAAAATAGTACCTGGAGGTGATTAAATGGCTAATGCACTGTAATTTCAAATGTACTTTAAGTTTGATTTCTCCCAATGCCAATGGAAAAGTTCAGACAAAGCAGCAGCAGCAGCATCTCTACACCAGTACCAATGTGCTGGTTTATGACATAGGGCAAACTGTTTTACAATCGATGTTGAAGTTCTATTAATTACACAATGTGTAACTGCCAATTTACCAAAACAAAAAACGTTAGTGCATTCCTTTGTGAAAAAATAAAACAGCTACGACAAACACAGATCCATTCAGTTTCTGTCTTTATAGCATGGCTTTCCCTCACTCCTTGTATCTTCTACCCAATCCCTCACGCAAGTTAGGTGAGTTCATCTGCAGGAACACACTATAAAGAGGGTTTTAGGTTGCTACAGCCTGTTTTCAATCAAAATTCAGGCTCCCAATGTTACCTGGAGAACTAGAAATTGGATAGTACATTATTTTAGTAAAAACTTGGTTACCTGCTTTCAGGACCCTAAAGTAGTTTGATTCACTCAGATTATTCCGCATTGGCTCTATCTACAGAATCAAAAGAATCACCAAGGGCCTTTGTTAAAGAGAACTCCAGGTTCCAGCCTCAAATTACAATGCAACTAGGAGGATTTGGGAATCTGAAAGTTTTATCAAGTCCTTCAGGTGATTCTTGAGCTCAAGCAGGTTAGAGTAGTCTTCTTAAACTTGAATATGCATACAAATTATTCTAAGCTCTTTTTTTTTTTTTTTTTAAATTTTTTTTTTTTCAACGTTTATTTTTGGGACAGAGAGAGACAGAGCATGAACGGGGGAGGGGCAGAGAGAGAGGGAGACGCAGAATCGGAAACAGGCTCCAGGCTCCGAGCCATCAGCCCAGAGCCTGACGCGGGGCTCAAACTCATGGACCGCGAGATCGTGACCTGGCTGAAGTCGGACGCTTAACCGACTGCGCCACCCAGGCGCCCCTATTCTAGGCTCTTGAAACAAATGCACATTCTGATCCAATTGGTCTGAATGGGGCCTGAGACTCAGCATTTCTACCAAGTCCCTAGGTGATATTGTTACTTTGAGGACACTTTCAGTAGTATGATCAGAGAGGGTATGCTTCATCTGGTTAGTGTATAAACCAGTATAGGCCATTACATTTTCCTTTTGTATCTGTGGAGTCTCTAACCAGGACTTCTACCTTGATACTGCCCATTTCTCACTTATGATTGATAGTATTCTCTACAAGCTAGTGTGATCACTTAAAGGAAGTCACCTAGCTGACATAAAAGTCCACAGAAAGTGAAGACAGCCTGAAATAAACAGAAATGAATATCACACATTAACTTACAACATAATGGGTTTGTATTTAATATAGTACTTCTCACTATAGAGATGTTGTTATTCAGTTAATATAAAGGTTTTTAACATTAAATCTCTTCTCCATTTAAATGTCCATATAAAGTATTTTTTTACATTAAATATTTTCTCCATTTTAACATTAGATACACTGAGTACATTTTTCTTACCTCTTCCCCCCAACCAAAGAAATAAAAATTTTAATTTCTGGATGTATTTGATACCTAAGTACAATACTAACTTGGGAGATAACAAAACAAAAATCTAATAAAAATATGGAGAAAAGTCTCCTCAGTGATGCAGGAGGCAGTGGCAATTTCCTAGGATTCTGGGTAAGGGTTTCCTTCTTCCTATCTCATGCACTTTGAGAATTCCAAAACTTTGAAATAATATGTAAATTTCGGTCATCTGACTTCTTTGAGCCTCTAACTAACATATAGGACTTTTAGACTGCTTTTTTTCAGTGCATTATTTGTTGTGAAGGAAACTTTTTTTTCCCATTTAACATATATCAGTTTGCTTCCATTTACAGGGAGACAATTAAAAATGTGAAAATACCCTATTTCTTGGGAACTTTCAGACACTAAAGATCAGTTTTTAACCTCAATAATTCACAATGGTTTTCTGGGCAAGGTCTGATTCAGAAGGCCTGTCAAAATCACATTTGTCCATTTCTCTTTCGTGCATATACCCCCAAACAAGCACAAATGCCTGTAATGCTGAGAGCCACACCTAACAAGAGAGCGACTGCATCTCCAGCTTCTACTGCTTCAACAACAGGCAGCACCAAAAGCAGTGAAATGAGGACCAAGAACAACTGTGCTGAAACTGAAGCCATGATGTTGGGATTTTCAGGTATCTCGATCTTGAGGGCAGAAAGTTTCTAGAAATCAAACATGGAAACAAAAAGGAATCATTAAAACTTTCCACCTTTTCAAATGACAGCATGAATACATAAATAACAATCCATATAACCTTTTAAATTTAAATGTCAGACCCATTTCCCCATTTTAAAGGTAAAAAAAACCCGGTAAGTTTATAAAACAGTTTAAAGAAGGTCATTTGAGGCTAATCCCCCCTTTCAATGCTAATTCCTTGACTCCAGCAATGTTTCCACATGCTATCATGCCAACCTCGTGTAAATCAACTAAGCAACTTGAACAGAACATAATTAAGAACAAACAGAAAACACACCAGACACTCGGAAACTTAAATATCCTAGTATTTTGAGTAAATGTTGAGTAAAAATTACATTTTCTTAGGATTTCTCCCACCCAGGAAATGCAGACAAATCTGGCAAAAGTCATGCAATATGTAAGTCTGTGAAGTTGTGGGGTATTAGTAACACTTACCAAAGAAAGTACTTATGTATAATTCTATCTGATTCGAAATACTCCCTTCCTGGAGTTCCGGATGCTGAGGCTAAGAGGTTCCACGTGACAGAGCCTAGTATCAGAAAAGGGTAGGATTTAAGAATTAATCATCACCATCATTATCATCATCATCATCATCATTTTTTAAAGATACAGCCACAGTGCAGAAGGAGGAAGTCGTTCGGAAGAGAGAGGAATGGATAGTAACTAGAGGAAACAGTTTGTTCAGGCAGGGGAACTAGACTTAAACTTGGGTCAGTTCGCCGGCACAGGAAAAGCTAAAAATAAACCGAACCCAGAGTAAGTTTGTGCCAGGATTTGATATTAAGATTTTAAAAAGAACCCCTGCTTTGTCCCGGAGAGGTGCAAATATCCTTGTTTTACAAATACACTGAGGCAACCCTAAGTATCCTTTGGAGACGAGTTCCTACATTACCTTCCGGGAAGCAGCCATTACAGGAATGGCGAGGAGGGCGGGGTCTCCAAACTACACTTCCCACAATCCCCGCTGCCGACGTCTCCCAGGATGCGCCGGCGCGCTCCTCGGTAACTGGCTGAGGGAGTGACGAGCACGAGCTACCGGAGACAAGGAGGAGCTCCCCTGCGGGTGTTCCTCACAGGGCGCAGAGTTTTACTGGTAAAGTGGTTTAGTGGGTTTGTACAAATGCTCTCTCAAAAATGTGATAAAGAAATGACAGTAGGTGGTTTTTACCCTATCTAAGGTTTCGAGACACACACATAGTTATGTCTTTTCTTAGATTGAAATGGAAACACAACAGCGGGAAAATAGCACCCGAGCCGAGTCATCTGTTTCGGGCGCTTTTAAACTAGCGGCTTCCAACATTTTGAAGCAGGGAATCCCCTGTCACCATCTTCCAAATGTACCTTATGACGTTTTGTGAATTCTTTTTAATCAAGAGGGGAAAACACGTTTAATTAGACATTTTAGGAAATGTTAAAACCGTTTGCAGGGAAAAAAAGTTTAGGAAAATAAAAAGGGTTTATAGGAAGATACCTATTATTTATGAAGGTTCTAGGATTGAGTTTCCCCATTAGTTCAAGAATGCTAATAATTCTTTTCAATTATGTTTTTATGATACCCACCCTAGCTGCCCCCAAACATTTATGAAAATATACGAAATTATTACTTTTAAACCGTAAGTGAATTGTTTCCATATGTAAGTCAATCCTTTCTGAAAGATACTCTTGAGTGCTAGTACCTGTGAAGTCCTTAAATGAAACTTTCTAGTCATCCAGTTTTCTGAACTCTGATTTGCTGATTCGGCTATTTATTTGGCACCGTCACATGGTAAGTTATTAATGATGTGTGTTAGGGATGAAGTCACTCCGCTTTCTGAAAGTCAGTCTCTCCGGTGTAGCAGGTACATTCAGCTCGGTGACCGTAATTAGCACGTGATCTTGTGTTGCATCTTATGCTCTTTCATAAATGTTACCAAATCTCTCTAAACTTACAGCAAAACTTTATATTCCTGTCTCCTAACACAAACCCAGCAGTGAAGTGGGCTAATCATAATTGTTTGAATAGATACATGTGCCAACAAGGTTTCATGAGACCAAGAAGTGCCAAATAAACCAAACCAAGGCCCCTTGCATAGTAGAAGTTTGAGGATAACTACACAGTAATATTGGTAGCATTGCTTCTCTAAACTTGATTGTCTTAGTAAAGTTTTGTCTTTGCCTCATTTGCTTTGAACTTTTAGTATTGTACCTTTCGAACCAAGTATATTTGAAATATATTACAAGATATTCTCTTGCTTTCTAGTGTGAACATTTTGGGGATATTTTTCCTTTTATGTCTGTTAAAGTTACCTAAAGTCAGCAGACTATTTTAAAGTTAGTGTTATTGCAGGCTTGTTTCTAGATGTGTCAACATTGAAGATAATGGTTTGGTTTTAAGTTTCAAGAGTCTGTGGATGGTAAAATGCTTTTTCTTTAAAATATTAAGAGGTCACTTAATGACCTGAATCATCTGAAAAAGAGTGGCAGAAGTTTGTGCAGCAGTGTTTTGGGCCTAAGTAGTTTTAATTAATTAATTACTTAAAAAAATTTTTTTTAATGTTTATTTTTGAGAGAGACAGAGACTGCAAGTGGGTTAGGGGCAGAGAGAGAGACACACACACAGGATCTGAAGCAGGCTCCGGACTCTGAGCTGTCAGCACAGAACCCGATGTGGGGCTGGAACCCACGAGCTGTGAGATCATGACCTGAGCCAAAGGTGGATGCTCAACTGACTCAGCCACACTGGCACCCCTAATTAATTAATTTTTAAATAAATGTTTTTATTTATTTTTGACAGTGAGAGCATGAGTGGGGGAGGGGCAGAGAGAGAGAGACAGAGAGAGAGAGAGAGAGAAGATCCAAAGCAGGCTCCATACTGATAACAGCCAGCCCGATGAGGGCCTTGAACTCACCTACGGTGAGATTGTGACCTGAGCAGATGTGAAATACTCAACTGACTGAGCCACCCAGGTGCCCCCAAATAGTTTTAAATAAAGTTGGTTAAATTTCTCTAACCATTCACCCACCCCAGGCAGGCAGTTTAACACCCGAATTGCTATATATGCTTTTGTGACCTTTTTCCAATCCTAGTATCAAAGTCGTATGGTATTCTAGTTCTCAGTTTTTTCTTACTACTCTAGTGATTAAAAAAAAAAATCAATTTATTCCTTTGCTTAAAACTCTCCAGTTCCAACACGTTAAGTTGAAGTGCAAACTCTTTATCAAGGCTCACAAAACCCTATGCATTCTGCCTCTTTCTGCATTTCTGATGTCAGTCCACCACTCACCCATGCTTATTCCATTTCAATCACATTCATCTGTTTGCTCTTTCTTAAATATGCCATTTTTGTTGTTTCCTATTGAATTTGCCCTTGCTGTTGTCTCTGCCAGTAATATTTTTCTCACGGGCATTTTCTTTGTTTCTTTTTTTCTTTTTACTTTTTATTTAAAGTTTAGTTAACATACAGTGCAATATTGGTTTCAGGAGTACAATTCAGTGATTCATCACTTACATACAATACCCAGTGCTCATCATAACAAGGGACCTCTTTTATACCCATCACCCATCTAGCCCATCCCCCACCCACTGCCCTCTATAACCCTTTAGTTCTCTGTCATTAGGGGTCTCTTGTGGTTTGTTTCCCTTTTTCCTCTTTTTTCCCCTTTCCCATATGTTCATCTGTTTTGTTTCTTAAATTCCACAGACTAGTGAAATCGTATGGTATTTGTCTTTCTCTGATTGACTTATATATTGATTCATATAACATAATATGGTCTAGCTCCATACACCTCACTGCAAATGGCAAGGTTTCATTCTTTTTCATGGCTAAGTAATATTCTACCGTATGTATATACCACATCTTCTTAGGCAGGTGTAGGTGGAAACTAAGTGATCAGCAGGACGCGCGGTAAGCCCAGCGTCCTCCTACGCCGCCATCTTCTCTCCAACTCCTCATATACCACATCTTCTTTATCCATATATCAGATGATAGACATTTGGGCTCTTTACATAATTTGGCTATTGTAGATAACGCTGCTATAAACATCAGGGTGCATGTACCCTTTCCAATCTGTATTTTTGTATCCTTTGGGTAAATACCTAGTAGTGCAATTGCTGGATCATATGGTAGTTCTATTTTTAGTTTTGTGAGGAGCCTCCATACTATTCTCTGGAGTATCTGCACCAGTTTGCATTCTCACTAGCAGTGTAAGAGGGTTCCTCTTTTTCTGCATCCTTGCCAATACCTGTTGTTTCTTTTAATTCTAGCTCTTCTGAAAGGTGTGAGGTGGTATCTCATCATGGTTTTGATTGGAATCTCCTTGATGATGAGTGATGTTGAGCATCTTTTCATGTGTCCGTTAGCCATCTAGATGTCTTCTTTGGAAAAGTGTCTGTTCGTGTCTTCTGCCCATTTCTTCACTGGATTATTTGCTTTTTGAGTGTTGAGTTTGATAAGTTCTTCATAGGTTTTGGCTACTAACCCTTTATCAGATATATAACTTGCTGATGTCTTCTTCCATTCCATAGGTTGCCTTTTAGTTTTGTTGATTGTTTTCTTTGCTGTACAGAAGCTATTTATTTATTTATTTTAAATGTTTATTTATTTATCTTTAGAGAGAGATAGAGTGTGAGTGGAGGGAGGGGCAGAGAAAGAGGGAAAGAGAAAAATCCTGTGCAGGCCCTGCGCTGTCAGCACAGAATCTGAAGCGGGGCTTGAAACCACACACTGTGAGACCATGACCTGAGCCGAAATCAAGAGTCAGATGCTTAACCTACTGAGCCACCTAGGTGCCCCCAAAAGCTTTTTATTTAAATGTAGTCCCAATAGTTTATTTTTGCTTTTGTTTTTCTTGCCTCAGGAGACATATCTAGAAAAAAGTTGCTATGACTGATGTCAGAGAAATTATTGCCTGTGCTCTTTTCTAGAATTTTTGTGGTTTCAGGTCTCACATTTAGATCTTTAATCCATTTTGAACTTATAAGAAAATAGTCCAGTTTCATTCTTTTGCATGTTGCTGTTCAGTTTTCCCAGCACCATTTGTTGAAGAGACTATCTTTTTCCATTGGATATTCTTTCCTGCTTTGTCAGAGATTAGTTGACCATATAGTTGTGAGTCCATTTCTGGGTTTTCTATTCTGTTCTCCTGATCTGTGTGCCTGTTTTTGTGCCAGTACTATATTGTCTTGATGACTACAGACATGTAATACGGGTTGAAATCTGGAATCGTGATGCTTCCAGTTTTGTTTTTCTTTTTCAGAATTGCTTTAGCTCTTCAGGGTCTTTTGCGGTTCCCACACAAATTTTAGGATTGTTTGTTTTAGCTCTGTGAAAAATGCTGTTGGTATTTTGATGGGGATTGCATTAAATGTGTAGATTGCTTTGGGTAGTATAGACATTTTAACAGTGTTCTTCCAGTCCATGAGAATGGAATGCCTTTCCATTTCTTTGTGTCTTCTTCAATTACTTTCATAAGTGTTATATAGTTTTCAGAGTACAGATCTTTTACCTCTTTAGTTAGGTTTATTCTTAGGTTTCTTGTTTTTGGTGCAGTTGTAAATGGGATCGATTCCTTGATTTCTTCTGCTGTTTCGTTATTGGTGTATAAAATGCAACAGATTTATGCACGTTTATTTATATCCTGAGACTTTGCCGAATTCATGTATTAGTTCCAGTAATTATTTGGCGGAGGATTTTGGGTGTTCTACATAGAGTATTATGTTGTCTGCAAATAGTGAAAGTTTGACTTCTTCCTTGCTGATTTGGATGTCTTTTATTTCTTTTTGTTGTCTGAATGCTGAGGCTAAGACTTCCAGTACCATGTTAAGTAGTAATTCCCACCGACTTTTTAATGGCTGTTTTCTCAGTGTCGTTCAAGTTTCTGCTCAAATGTCACCCTCTTCTCTGAGCACATCACAAAAGCTATCTCTTCCATTCCAATCTGTCCAGTTTCCTGCCTAATTTTTTCCTCATAGTGCCTATCACTAACTGAAATTATATTATGTATGTATTTGTTTATATATGTAGTAAGTAAGCAAGTACAGGAAAGTGAAAATTCCATGAAGGGCAGGAAATATTTCTGTCCTATTATTTACTACTGAGTTCCCAGATTCTACAG